AAAGATTAGGACAGTGCCGAAACTACTTCATTCCAATCACCAACCTGCTCTTCCAATTATAGCTTTCGTTTTGACGGGTTCAGCCATCACTCCTAACAGTGGACCCATCATTTTCATTCCAAGCCCATGTGCTCGAATATCGGGGCGTATCACGTAGAAGGGGCCGAATACAATATCTGTCACTACTACAGCCACTCCTCCAAGCAAATAGCCATCTGAAAATCTCTATTTTTAAGAGAGAAGAAATGAGCAATGATAGCACTCACCGGATTTTCTAACAGCAAAGACGGGGTAGATGTTTTTCAATTCAGGAATCAGCTGCCACATAGCTTCATCCTGTGTTGTCCACGGTAGTGTCCGCACCAATTCTCTCATCTGGTCCCATAGCTCCGGCGTTGCTTGGGTTGTAATCTAAAGATGTAGCTCAAACTTAGAAAAAATCCTCCGCCAAAACTTTAATGTTGAGAGAGCGAGAAAGCTCACGTGGATTTCGTCTTGATTGAGTTGCAGCATGTGGAGAGAAGGAGTAAGCGGCAATGTGTCGTCTTATCTTAACAAGGACGATTCCGGTCAGGTGCAGCTGCGAAATACCGATACAAAGGAAATCAAACAATGGATTATCGCTGTAATCAATGAAACTGAAAACTGCGGAAGCATGTGAGCAATGTGCTATCAGATCACTTGCATTGATGAGCCACTGTTGCCGGAAAATTTACCTCCGGAAAGGAAGAATCTAGATGATAGCAGAAAGAGACAAGGAGGTGCTCTACAGCTTTGTTGTCTCTCTACAGTAAAGTTTATAGGTCTTTCATCTTGCTTTAATTGGCTTTAGGCTAGCTGCTGGAAGCTAACTGAGTTCCGAACAAGTTCCGAAATCATTAACGTTGCAACCGTCTAACTCTTCCCCGTTGTATCTGTAAGCATCTCAAGCTAAAAAGTACTACCCTAGTTTCGCGAGTACAAGAGGCGCTTTTCATTTTCTCAAGCAAGCAGCTCTGCCGAACCACTCTGCCTCGAGAAAGGGTCACTCTCTCACACAATTCTTTCAGGTGAGGAAGCAGCACACAGAAGGTCCTTCAGTCACGTAATTCCTTGGTGTGTTCATTTTGGTCGAGTTTAGAAGAGAAAAGCGTCTTGTACTCGTAAAATTAGGGTATCTGCGAAGTGAGAAGATAAGTAAGCATTAGGTTGGAACATAAGTCTTACACCACAATTTTTAAATTTCCGT